TAAGGCCATGTTGATTTGATTATATGGATGACATCCGTGCGCACATGAATTTTCGGCCGTTTCCAAAAAAAAAGAAAGTTTCCAACCACACTGGAAATTGTACAAAACAGTTGCAAAATGAGCAAATATATACCGAAAGTTGCAAAAAAAAATATTTGAAAACAATTCCAACGTCGTAGAATGCCAAAATCAAACAAAAAACTAAAATGCAAAGAAATGAATTTAAAGAGTAGATTATTCGCCATACCATACTCTGTGTCATTTGTTCGACCTCCATAACAACGTAGATTTCAGGAAAGCAACTTTTTTTTTTTGCAAAACTTTTTTTTTATTCGCGCGCTCGCATCAGTTTTGGGGTTCCCAGAGGATGTCATCCATATAATCAAATCAACATGGCCTAATAGGAACAAACTTAAGCTTCTTACCAGTCATTGATAATGACCTTAAGATGAATATTAATTATAATAGATCATTATAATGACAATGGATTATGAATACTGAATATCTTCTATTGATTTTAACAGAAAGAGTATGGAGAGTTTATGAGCAGATCAGAGTATCAGGACCCTGAGTTCAGGAAGGGAGTTCTCATGGAACACCTCGCCAGGTTCTTCCAAAGCATGGCCCAAACAGATGATATGGAGGATGGAGATGTGGTGAGTAGAAAGAAGTAGTTAACCCTTCCGCTGCGTGTCGCCACGATTGTGGCTTCCTGTTTCACTGCGTGACGCCACGATCGTGGCTCTCCGGGGAGTGTTCCGACTCGGTTCACAAAAGCTTCGTGTGTTTCCGTTAATCGTCGGCAGTCTTTGGGGAAACTGCCTCGTTTTCATGTGCATAGGTCCACCATTGTTTTGGTTGCTGTTCGAGCGATTTTTACCGAGTTTTTTGGGGGGATTTTTGGCATATTTTTTGTGCCGCCGCGATAAGCAACCTTGATGGCGAGGACACGAGGGATTGGATCGAAAGTGGTGATGACAGTTCTGGCAGATTTAAGGACAAAAGCGGCACTGTTGAGTGAAATAGATTTGTTAATTTCTTGCAGCTGTGTGCATGTGCTTGTATTACTGTATACATACAGTCAGCACCTACATACATTTGTACATTGTACAGTAATTGTATCTTGACACACATGTATGCTCCACTGGAGAACATCACCAATTTTGACGATGATGATGATGATGACTGGTTTATTCATTAAAAACATTTTGCAGCCCGGAGGCTGATTTGCATGTTTCCGTACATCAGTGTCCACCTTGACATTATAATAACAACTTTAAAATATCCTTCTAGCTCAGAATTTATACTAACATAAAATTGGATTTCGATTTCCACTTATTAAAGGCATCCAATGCGATTTCATGGTAGCAAAACTGGAAATATTCTGAATAAGGCAATCTTTGTGATATTGACACATAATGCCCCACATTAGCACATTTGAATCAGCATTTCGTACTTTGGGTATTTAAAACTGCAGAAACAAGCCCTAAGATGAGTCCTCTATTTTCTTGGTGGTACCCTAAAAATCAGCCCAGAGCCCTTCCAGTAACCATTTTTCGTCAGAATTTTGGGATTTTTTGCTCCATGAGGGTCAATATACATTGGGATAGTGTGGTTTCAACTCACTATGTAGATACATGACTAGAATATTGGCTTTGAAAAATCGGGTTTCCAAGCCCTAAAAACTCTCTACATTATATACATGATAAGAGACTCAATACATTTACTTCTTTACGTCGACTCATTTAGGAGTTTAACTATGTAGGGCAAAGGGCTGTTGGAGTAGCGCTTCGTGCGTGCTAGAATAGGGTCGAATTTGTTGTTTTGCCTTGTTGACCTCCCCGTTACTTCGCCTCTTGTCTGAGGGAGCCAGTGGATTGCTAAGAAACTTGAGTTTGATTACATCTTTGACATAACATTTGAAAATAATTAAGTAATTGTTAATGACCCACCCTGAGGTGTATACATGTATGGTGTGATAAGGCCTTGTCTGTTGCTATAGCCGCACTAATGGAACAGGGTTTTTTAGACGAGTTAGGCCACACCAATTTGATTTCTTGGTTAACGGATTTTTTTAGAAAAATAATGGAGCGGGCGGGCGAAAAAAAAATAAAAATAAAAACAGGCCTAGGCATCCTATTATGGCCCAAAATGGTACGATAGGAGCCATGAAGTCAACACACCAGGCTGGTTCAAAATTTAAACAAAGAATTTTGAACTTTTAATGATACCACTGCATTGAAAGATGGAATAACTGTAACAACTAGGAAGAAAAGGACTGTTTTCAACTGTTCAGAGCAAAATATGAGCATTTTGCAGTTGATTCTGAATTTTTATTTTTATTTGCAAATCAGAAAAA